TGGAGAGAACGGCTGTCGCAGCCCTATGACGACACCTTTTTGTGTGGGCGCTAGAGTGTGATGTCAACACATGCCCTATTGAGCTCGAGCAGAAATATAAACATGTATTTAAAAAAAGGATTATTTACGACACATTAAGCACATGTTTTTTTGTTTTGTTTTGTTTTGTTTATTTTAGACTTTATTGATCCACAAGGGAAATTATTTGGACACAGTAGTTCACACATCACAATATAATACAGTAACAAAGAGCAAACATTTAACTGATAATAATACATTCAAAATAAGTAGCAAAAATAGCAAGAGACTGGTGAAATAAGGCATCAAATAAGGCATGATCATACAAATGTTTATACACATGTATTTGTTTATTTATTTATTTGTTTGTTTATTTATTTATATTTTATTTCCAAAGAATAACCACAATGTAACATCTTAATGTTTGTGTAATGCTTTAATGATCCAGGTAGGATCCATAACAAAGGAAGAATTTAATTTTGTCAACTGGATAAAAGTTTTTAACCAAAGACATTTCGCAGCTCATTCAAGCTGCTTCATCAGTTCTGGGCAGATTGCTGGTGGACACTACCTTATATTTTATACTGCCTTCAGTCAAAAACTTTTGTCTATTTGACAGAATTGAATTTCTATTTTGCTATAACATCTTAATGAATAATGTTCCCAGTTTTTCCTCTTTGCGCAACACATATATACTGAATATTTTTCATTGCTTGTTTATTGTGTATGGAAACTATGTAGGCTATACAATATCAATTTAACTGATGTCACAAACCCAGAGCTGGTTCTTGTACAGCTCGTGGGTCTGGTTAGTTGAAAGCAGATGCAGGCTAATGTGGATTAGAGTGCTGCCTGCTGCTCCTGTTACTCCTGCAGTGCCAGCTATGGTTGGCTTTGGCTTATGGTCATTTTTGTGCAGAGTATTTTGATCCTCAAGGGAGAGTCTGAGAAGCCGAGATATCACTAAGCACCAACGTGTGATCCTGAAGTAGTGAGCTCAGACTGGCAGCTAGTCAATGAAAACTAAGGAGCATGTCTCGGAAACAAAGCCTGGCTGTAAATGCGCTCACTAAATTCGGATGGGTGACAAATCAAAGGAGAGGCTGGGGGGTATTGTTTGAGGAGGTTCAGGGTTTCAGGCACTGATTCTAAACCCATAACCGTGGCAACAGATACACTCATAGGTCTAATAACGTAAGATATTTTCACAGTGATGACGTGTCACATAATATCTCTGAGAGGTGGTGAGCTTTGTACTCATGGTGACAAAATCAGACTGTATCATAGTCTTATTAGTGGGCCTATTTTTAAAGGGCCTGCACTGCACTATTTTCTGATCTATGTTATAATGTTGTGTCCTCATCATAAACATACCTGGAGTTGCATTTCATTTCATTCACACACATTTAACACAGAAAGATTGCATATTTGGGCTGAGTTGAGTTGTTTTCTCAAACTGAAAACACTGATGTGACAAAACTGTTTCACCTTGTGATGTCATGTGGTCAAACAGGAAGTGCTCCACTGTGTTTTTAAACTCCACCTTCACTACAATCATTGGGATGATTTCAGCCCTGGAATTTCTAATCTCTACTCAACTAAAGCTGTTAACTTAACTTGAAAACTACTGCTTCATCACAGCACACATAAAGGATTACTCAAACACGTGTGTGTGAAATAAACCACATCTCCAGGTTGTTTCTGATGAGGTAACAAGATTCCTACATGATCAAAAGCTCATATATGTCAATTTCGTGTACCTTTACTACTAAATTACTTTCTTAATACATTTTTACAGCTCTATTTCATTATTAATTTTATTATTTATTTTTGTTTGCGACTTACTGGTTGTATTTACTTATATTATCATACTCATTAAATTATTTGGATAAAATATGTTTACTTATGAAACCACTGAGCTGCTGGTGATAATGAACCAACTGTATTTGATAGCATATTGAATAGCGTGCTGACAGAAAAGCCCCGGTTACCATGGTGCTATGTGTTTCTTCTCACAAATGGCCTGGATGATTGAGTGTGGTGGTCGTGGCAGCAGCAGCAGCAGCAGCAGGCAGACAGATGATGTGCACCGTCGCAGTTCTAAGGACAAACAAACAGAGATGAGATCCGCTCATGGTAACTGGTAAAGTGACCAGCTGCTCCACATGCTGTTGTTCAGTATTAGGAAAGATAGTTGTTGTCAGATAAAATAAAGGTTATTCAGTGAAAGTGCTTCTTTGTTGAACTTGCAATATCAGGTTAGTTGTGTGAAAAATAGAATAAAAATATAATGTACTGCAAAAAGCAATATCAAGTTAAAATGACTCATATTAAGAACATTAAATTTATTTTACTAGAATCAACTTGACAATTATAAATGCAAAGTGTTGTTTTTCTTATCTTAAGTCAAAAGTCCTTTTCCATTGGTAGATAATTTTACTTGTCAAGTGAAATTTACTCAAATAAAATTTTCTTAATTCAAGTCATCTTATATTGGCTAGATTTCATTTTTTTCAGTGTGTGGTGTTCTTTTAGTTGTTCTACGCAGCCTTTTTGAACCTTGTCTCTTTCCCACTTGTAGTTTAAAGAATGTTCCACTTTTTGACGTCACATGAGTTATAAAAAAGTGTTATTCTAAACTCTTTCTGTGTTACGATTGATTAAAAAAAACAAAAGTCATTGCAGTTATTATGAGCATAAAGCCATAGTATAACTTTTTAGTTAAAACATGCATGTTTTCATTTTGGGCGTGTTTATTGCACTGAAAAATATATAAAAACTTGTCCTTACCATAAACTGTATAATGAAATGGACTAAGGAAGTGTGACATCACCATAGTGTTCTCCAGTCAAACAAGGCTCACCAAGGCCGGCAGTTATGCTTTCCATAATAGGAATAGGAATTTATTTAAAGACAAAATGGCGAAATAGCAACACCAGGATTGTGTAAAGTGAGCCAATACAAACATTTAAGACAACAATGATAAAGCTCACTGCAGCAGTTAAAGAGAGAGAGAGAGATGACAAGTTTTCAATGTAAAGTCAGTTGGAGGCAGAGTCAATGGAGTCGGAAGCATCCCCATGCTCACTTACAATTTGGAACACAACAGCTAGCAGGTTAGCTATGTCCATTTATATATACAGTCTTTGGTCCTTAATGTGAGAAGGCTTGCATCGCCACAAACTTGACTCTTGACCTTGGAGAAGGTCCTCCTCTTGCTTGTTTCCATCTAAATGTTGTTCCTTTTGTTATAATCCTTTTGCTATTATCTTCAACATTTCTGTTTCTAGGAATCATTCAGGTGACGTGCCAGCTTCAGAAAGTTAAATACTGTACCTTTAAATTTGCCGAGTCCATTCCTCAAAGTCCCAACACATTTTTCAACATGTCCCTTTTTTCTGCAATTTATGGTGGTCACCCTATAGGCACGACAGTAAAAGATAAGATGCAAAATAGGCCTAACTATAGATTTATGACGCTTGAAAGATTACATTTCACCTTGGTCTTCCAATAGAATTTTTGAGGCATGTGATATCTTAAATAAAATACCACATTTAAAGATCCTATATTACACAAAATTGACTCTTGTTGCTCTTGTGACTCTTGTGTGCTTTAAGCCATGTTGTTACCTCATCAAAAACATACCTGGAGTTGTGTTTTGTTTCATTCACACATGAACTCAGCCTAAATATGCATGATTTGTGTGTTAAAAATGTATGAGTTAAACAAAACAAAACTCCTGGTATGTTTGTGACGAGGAAAGAAGACTATAACATAGATCAGAAAACAGCATAATATTAGCCCTTTAAATTAATATGGAGACTTACTTAATACACTGGTAACTCATAAATACAAAAAAAAACATCAAAATCATATAGTGTAATTAAAATACAGTTATTTCGTGCCAAACAACCAATAAAAGATAAGCCTGTTTGCGAGACACTTCAAAGTCTTGCCACTATCACGTCCCGTACTATCATTTCTGGTTTGATCTGAGAGTGTAAACACAGCCTCGGTATTTCCTCCTGTTTGTTGTTGATCATAAAAGTGTCAAAGTTTACTCTGCAGTGCGGGATCAGGGAGGCAGAGATAGAGGAGAGTACTGTCTGGAAATCTAATGTGAAGGAAATGGAGTAGAAAACTGAGCCGGGGACTTTTTTCTCATTTGTATTCATTGGTTTGTGAGGATTGTTTGTTTTGCACCAACAGATCCACCACAGGAGAATGCAGAGACCACCAACTTTTATAAGTGTCCGTCAATACAGAGACCCAACTGCAGAGAAGTGTAGCATAGAAAAAGAAAATAAAACTATGAAAGAATAGAGATTGCCTGGTTATGATTTTTACAGATGATTATGTGTTTATAAGCAACTGGTTTTAGTAATAATAACTGGCAACCTAACTCTTGTGCGACTCATTCTGCTGTCTGATTGGAAAAACATTTCAACCAAACCAAACTGTCACGTGACAATATATTTAAAGGTGCACTGTATAACTTTAAAGTTGAGGGTTTGTTTCTATGGATACGTCAGTGCTCTGCTTCGAATATTCCACAAAAGGGCATTGAACAGATCTATCTTACATGTATGCAATTACAGGTGATTTAATAGCTCGAAAATACATCGGCATTCTAACTGTGAGTGAGGTTGCCTCTACACAGATCTGACTAGTGACTTTGGTCTCTATGTTGATAGAGAGATTTAATGCCATACTGTGAAATATTTCAGACAAAACAATAAGATCTCCATGAAGAAAACGGACCCTCCACCAGAAAAGTCACACAATGCACCTTAAACTTCATCATCATGTCCAATGTGTAATTACTAACCAATGAACTTTACAATTACCAGTAAAAACTATATTTGATTTGAACTGTCAGTTGCCACAGATAGGTCATGTATATCCAATTTAAATTAGAAATTAAACATACCCTCTCTTTAAATTTGTATAAAATATCCCTTTCAAATACCAAACACGTTGACTGCATTAGACAAACTACTTTTTATTATTTACATTTTACATACAGAAAACTTTTCAGTGTAACAGCTGAACAGCATTATCAGTAGTCACACGGCACTCAGTCAGTGATCTTTGTTCATAAGAATATTTATATTTAAAAAAATACTGTCAAAGAATACTTTTGGGACTCTGCTTGTACAAACAGGAGTTTTGAAGTGATGGCTGTGTGACAGTCACAAGTCAAGTCAAAGTTGTCCAAATTTAGCCAAATAAAGTACAACAGACAACAGACACAAAACACCTTCAAAAAGCAATAACATGCAAACATAGTCTTTTAGGGAACAGTCAGAGCAGTTTGTGTGATGAGCAAATTGGTCTAGTATTGGTGACTTTTACTACATACATGGACCTGTAATGTTTAGACAGTCACACCTTGTGAAAAGAATGTCTTTATACTTTATACTTCCAGTAATCCGAATGGGATGAATACAGGAACACAATGGAAGAGTACAGTCTCTCCCAGAATAGCTGTGTGTCATCTTCACTGCTGACAAATAACAGTGTCTGGACCAGTTGTTGATGGTGTGATCTCACTAATAGGCTTCAATTGACCTGCAAGATCGAGGGACATACTGTAGTTAGCATGTGCCAATAATTTCCAAGCAGTTTAATTACAAAGAATGATTAAAGTTTTATTCATGTTCAGATTTTCTTTGATTAAAATCCTGCATGTATGGACAACAATATTCAAACAAAGTTACATAACAGACAAAGGCGCATTGAGCAACAGTGTCGAGCAACACATTTTGTCCTGTTTTGAGATCTTGTGCAACGCAATATGTACCAAGAGCCTCTTTGGTGAATGAAACCTTCCTCTCACTCCAGCAGGGCTTTGGAAATCCACTGCTGAGAAAGGCAGTTGTATACAGAGCATTGGTCAATACCAGTGAGCGGAGTGGACCTTGACCTGTGGCGTTCCCAGGCCTTTTTAGCGGGGGATACTTTGTGGGTTCAGTTGCTCCACTCTTCCACGAATGCTTCTTGTAATGGCAAACAGGTGTTGAGCATGTGGGTCCCTTTCAAACAGCACCATGTATAATAACGCACAGGTCACAGATGAACAATCGCGGCGCAGATGGTTCATCACAACAAACAGGCGGAAAGATGGAAGGAAGCTGTTTATAAATATTATCTTGCTCAAGGCAGGTGTTACACTTTCAAGTTGCTGTGACATAAAGTTCAAGTGTAACAAGCGGAACAAGTGTAAATGTTTTTTCACAACAATCGGATGCCTTGATGCCATTTGGATACACTGGGTTGTGGTTGTTTTGACCTCTCCACACCTGCTTAATGTGGATGTACAGGCGACTGACCAGCTGCGCTCGTTCTGTTCACACCTGGCAATAACATGACTCTTCCTGTGCCCATGCAAGGATCCGGTTTCATTTCCCATTTCGCATGCAAAGCTTTACGTGCGAGTAGGTCTTTTCATGCTTCATTGATATTGTATGGAATTAACTTTACTAGCAGGAGTTGTTTTATTATAATTTTAGAATACTCATTGGTAATTGAATATTTTACCATGATGAATGCATGTATATAATGAAAGGCCCTTCAAATTTTGATTGAAACCATTAAAACCTTGAATATATTTCTGTCAGAACAAGGGGCAGATTTCCCCAGTGTATTAAAATATGTTCTCACAGTATCATATAGACGTTATTAATTCCTTGTTCATTCTCTGTATTTGACCCATTTATCCATTTGTTTAGTTTCTTGATATGTTTGAATTAAATATTCACAATTGCTAAAAGAAAGAGCTGGTACACTATTTTGATGTTTACATTATACAAAAGATTATAGCTCACCATCAAAATCATCATGCTATTTGATTGTGAATGGAAAGTTGACCTAGAATGACAAAAACAAATGTCTTCCTATTTCATTATTACACAAGCAGTTCTACAGTAAAGAAATGGTGTTCTCTAGTGGACAATACACAGCATTACATATAACTTTATATTTTAACAGTCAAATTGTGTTCAAGTTGTATTCGGTTAACTTCAAAAGACCTACCGTCTTTTTTAATCCAGTCGTCCAATTCCTCCATTTCTAATTCTAACACAGAAGGGACATCTTCTTCAAACATGGGCCTAGAAAAATACATAGTCTTTAGGAAAATGTTATGGAAACATTTGGAAAACTCAATTTTAGTCAACAGCGTCACACATTACATTGGCACTTTCTCTCTGCTGGAATCATCTAAATACGGATCTTCTTTGCTGACCTCTGCAAGATGACATTGTATCAAGATTTGTTTAATGTCTGCACAGATAGATTCACATAACTGGACTTACCTGAATGTGTTGTATTGTTGTTTAATTTGCGATTAATGAGAATGCAACAGACAATGATGGCTAGGAAAAGGATGACCAACACCACAGGAATGATGATGAGGAGGAGATCCGTTCCATCGTCCTCTGGGGACGGCGTCGTTCCTGTATCAATGGTCGGCTGTAATGTGCTTTCTGGTGGTGCTGTTCAAATATTAGAAGCAAAATAAAAAAATAAAAAAATTAAGTATAAAGATCTTCATATGGAATTTTTTTTTTTATAAACTTGTTTCATTGTGCTTTTTACTCAAGGTTTGTACTGAAAGACAATCTGATTTAAAAGACTTACCATTACCCAGAGAACGCCCTGAACCATGGTCATCTTCATTCACTCCCTCTTCTTCTTCTACATACAAATAATCAGAGAATCAGCACATTTCACATTTGCCAGACTGAACTTGTTTGTTTACCTGTGTCTTTAGGATCAGTTGCTTCAGGTACAGGAGTGGTGCCTGAATCATTTCCCAAAGGATCTACAGTTACAAAGAATAAACATGATTCACACTTTAATCATAGGGAAATTTGACGGGAATATATCAATTGGATAAACATTGTAATGTATTCTATTTTTCAATGTTAGATCGAAATCAGGATTATTTCTCAATGATTATAAAGGGTGGTTCAATCACAGGTTAAAGGTGTGCTAGGTAACTTTTCTGGCAAAGGGTCTGTAACCTGTCTCTTTTTTATTTTTTACTCAACAACTAAAGATATGACACATTAATCTAATTCAATACATGAGATATAAAAACAAAAAACAGGGGGGATCGACAGATAATAAATATCAGACAGTTAGCACAGATAAATCAAAACTGTATGTGTAAATTATAGACAAATTCATGACATAACAAAATTTAGGGGAAAAACTAAATAAAAGAAGAAACAGATCAGAGTTTATAAGCAAAATTACAGTTCTTTTGTCAGAGGAATATGTTCAAAATCAAAAAGTTACCACCAGCATTTATTATTTAGTGTATGACTGGATTATTTTTTTATGTCCCAAAAAAGTTGATGCACATATTAACACCAATTAAAAATACTGAGAATGAGAGTTTACAGTTTTCAGCTAATACATTTTTCAGTGTATATCATATTTACCTAAGTGAAATTGATAAATTAACAATAACATTTTACTAAGTTTGAATAATGTAATTACAGTACATATTATAATTCAGATAGATCATAGTGCCAATCTTTGGGGGTATACAACTTTCCAGTTGTTTCCAGAAATTGTGGCATGGGTTGAACTCATAGAATAAATGTTTTCAATTCTCCATCTAGATATTAGAGAAGTTGTAAGAGATCAGAGGTCCATGCCTTTACAAGCAGGGATTTAAAATGATTTGAAATTCCTGATATGATTGTTGGTACATTTTTACTGTGAATATCAATATTATTAAGAATTATTAAGAAGACAGATTTTATAACATAATTACATTCTTGATGTTTAATTGGGAAATTGTACAGGTTAATAAATGTCTATCTGTAACATCTATACTGCATATACTACATACATCTCTAAACATGTATGAAAGCTCCTTTTTTAAAGTTCAGGCCCCTGCCACCCTTATGATCTCTGCACGGCCCTGTTGTCTTGTGTGATACGTATAATGTGACTAGCAGTTTGGCCTGGTGGTGCCTCCTACTTGTCTCCATGGAGACTGATAATTGTAATACTGTTGAATATTATTAGCAAAGCAATAACTCCATAAGACACAAGCATGTGGCAGACCCTCCATCAGAAAAGTTACAAAGTACACTTTTAAATATATGAAAACAGAACCCATCCCGCCCACGCTTTTTCATCATTGACATTAATAGGCAATGTCCACATATGATAAACCTAATAATATGTAAATTAACATAATGTTTCTTGTCACTTAAAAAAAACTTTATTGAACCTACCTGCGGACTCCTCGACTGCAGCTACCTCCTCCACCACGGCATCCTCAGAATCCTGTAGCTCAGCATCTGGATCTGGATCTTCCTCTTGACATAAGACTGCAATACAACAACATAATTTATCAATATTTTATGGTATAGTTTAGCATTATAGCTCATAACATGAAAAACTTAAAACTGACATGGAGAGTCATTCAAATTTCTATTGTTTGCTGTCCAGTTGTAAGAATGCAGATGTTTATGATAAAAGTATGTAGTTTATGATAAAAGTGTATGATTATAACTCTGTAGTGGTGGATGAAGTACTCAATTTTGTTACAGTAAAAGTACAGATACATTGGCAGAAGATTACTCAAGTAAAAGTATCACATGAAAAAATCTACTTAAGTAAAACTATTAATGCCTTTTCAAAAATGTACTTTAAGAGTAAAAAGTAAAAGTATTTTGCAGAAATGTTTGGAATAATCAAAGAAACAAATGTAGCGATTTAAGGAATTTAGCTGATTTTAAGTGATTCATTGAATTCTTAATTTTTCTATCTATTTTTGTAGATTTGGTTTGCTCAAAGTTGGGACGTTAACTTAAATTAAATGTGCTAAAAAGAAGTCTCAGCAAGTCTCAAACCATCAAGAAAAGTACTTTTCTTTCCAGATATAAAATGTAGTGGAGTACAGCTACATGCTCTCAAATGTAGTGAAGTAAAAGTACAACGTATCCACTGTAAAATGTACTTAAGTAAAATACAGATACTTAAAATTGTACTTGAGTATTGTACTTTTACTTTTCTACTTTGTTACCTTCCACTACTGTAAATCTCTGCAATTACAAATCCTATCCACATGAAACAAAACCAGATTTTCACACATCCTCTAAGGTTGAGTGCAAATACCAGCCCCACACCTGCCACAAACTCTATATGAACCCAAGTTATAAAATGCCACGCATGAACCAACAGGAACTTTGCACTTCCTCTAGCAAGACTTCAAGCGGCAGTTACAAAAATCTTTGTGTAATGTCCCCAGCAGAAGAGCGACATTTATTACTCATCCGCTCTGTCGTGATGTACCACATGTGACTAAATTGCCATCCATTGTTTATTGTGTAACTTAAATGGAGGAGAGCCATCAACTGCTTGTTACTATGGAGATGTCATTGCTGTGCTTGGAATGTTACACAGTATGGCATTAAACAGCTCTACCTTACATTTATTCAATTACAGGTGGTTTTATTGCTCAAAAAATACTAAGAAAAACATGCATTCTGAATGTGAGCGGGGTCGCCTCTCCACAGATCTGACCAGTAAGTTACAGGTCTGGTTTGGTCTGCGTAAAGATAGAAAGGTTTAATACCATACTTCCAGACAAAGCAATAACATCTCCATGGAAAAAAGCATTTGATGACTCTAAGCAGAAATGTTACACAATGTACCTTTAAGTGTTATCTGAAAAATCTGATAAAAATCTTTAGCGATACAAGTGCTAACTCAACTGCAGAAGAAAGTGTGGAGTCTGCATATCCGCCCTTACTAAACGACGTGTACTTCCTTTATGACACAAAAGCTGTAGCAAATATGATAGTATCTTTTGAATATAATGTTTTGGTAGAGTAAACCAAGTTAGTGTTTATGTTTAAAACATTATAATCTGTGTTTGGTGGCAACATGATGTGCACTTTCCCACTATTATCATGGGTGTGCTTTGAATGTTATTGCTGTTGCTTCTCTGATTGTACTCAACTTCTCAAAAACATGAATCAGTTTGGTGAGAGGGACTATTTAAAGTTCCTGTGGAGTGAGTTCCGTTTCTTTAGAGAAAGTCATAAACCAAAGACATCTTTTTTTTTTTTCCATTTTAAAAGTCTGTCTCTTAAATATTAACTCGTACGTGTTCACAACCAAAAGTAAAACCACTACAACTGAAATTGACTCTTGTGAGCTTTAAGCCATGTCCAAATGTTGTTACCTCATCAGAAACATACTTGGAATTGTTTTTTGTTTCATTCACATGTTTGAGTAACCCTTTATTATTAGTCGGTCTACATCTCCAAAGCTCAAAATGCTCTGTTCTACCCTGTGATGTCATGAAGTGGTAGTTTTCAGGTTAATAGCTACCATTTACCTTTTGTTCAGCAGAGATGGGAAATTCCAGGGGTGAAATTATCCAAATGATTCTAGAGAAGGTGTAGGGAGCTTAAAAACACACTGGAGCACTTCCTTTATTACCATCACAAGGTGGAAAGAGTGTTTTCAGTTTAAATAGCCTAAATATGCAGGAATTGTGAATGTGTGAATGAAACAAAACACAACTCCAGGTATGTTTGTGATGAGAATACAACTTTATAACAAATTAAAAAATAAAGCAATATGGGCCCTTTAAATACTATATAACTCTTACGCTTTCTTAATCAAAAGTCAAAGTTTCAACAAACACTTTCGCTACTTAACACCACAAAATTTACCAACAACCAAATCTCACCTAACCTCTGAATAAGTATTTCCCAAACCAATATTTATACATCAAACTTATCTAGATTAGACTGTAAAAAAAATAAATCTACCAGTACTCTTCCCTATGTGTCAATAAGGGAGTACACCAACCAACCTGCACCCAGCCCCAGCCCCAGCCCTCCACTACTACCTACCTGTACGCGATACTCCACTCAGCAGTAACAGCAGTAGTAGTAACCACCCGGACACATGCATCTGAACAGGGGGCCCTCTCATGTTACCAGCCCACCGGACGGACATGCTTTTGCCATTGTGCGCCCCAGTCCTTGCGCTCTTCTGTCACACCATCGTACTTCCTCAAAACACACACAAAAAAATAGGCAGTATCTGAGTCACAATAGTGAGTCGAAGGATGTGATGCAATGCGCAGGGTGCGTGTAGCTGCAAGTTACATTCCTGTCTGATAGGTATGTGGCCTGAACAGCGCCGGGTGAAGCTGTGTAAACGAGAGGAGAAAAAACTATTTAGCTGGTGGAGTGTTTAGGGAAAGTACTTGAGGTGAAAGAGGTTGTGGTAGGGTGGGCTGGTTTATCAATAAAGCTTAATGGATAAAAAGATGTGTAAAAGAAGAAGGGAAGAGGTTTTGACAAACAAATCAGGCCAGTGCATGTTTCAGCATGACAGTCGGTAGCAAAGTAGATTTGCAAAGCTTGTTTTTCTGGAGAATTATAAGTCATTTTGGTGACATCATTGTTTTCATTTTATCTTGCAATAAGTTGGTGATCACTGACTAGACTATAACAGTATAACAGTTTATGGGCCTTAGGCGGGGTACGGCCTGTTGTAAATTGCTAATACAAACATCCATTCATTGTCATGCTTAGTCTCTATGAAGACATTACAGTAACCAATTCATTTAAAGTGCATATGACAGGTTTTGATGATATTTTTTTTTACTTAATTAGGTCGGATAATACCTGTTGTAAATATAAAAATGAGTCTCATACAAACCAAGTAACAATTTGTGAAGAAAAGTTGAAAAATATAGTGTAATTACAGGAACTAGAGAGTTCTATTTCAGGGAGTATCATATTGATGACATCAGTCTAGGGAAAATTCTGTGCGTAAGTTGGGCACACATACAATTTTCTCATACAATAAAAATTATTTCTTCAAAATAAAGGTGTTAACATGTAATTATATTTGTCAAATATTAATTTCTGTGTACATTAGAGGAGTTTTTGCCCAGTGTACCACATGGTAGCTAGGCAACAATTTCAAACAAGATTACAACATTACAAACCTAAAAAATGACCAAACTGGGAAGAAATTGTGAAGTTTTAAATAAAATCTTAAGGGGTGCTATATTTTGATCTATGTTATAATTGCTTCCTCATAAAAAACATACCTGAAGTGGTGATTTGTTTCATTCACATGTTCAACACAAATCCGAAAATGTAGGCAAAGTTCTTCTCTCAGAAATACTCTGTTCCACCATGTGATGTCATGTGGTAATACATAAAGATCATTTCACCCTGGAATTGCCAGTCTTTACTGAACTAAAGGTGAAACTAGAGGTAAAAGGTGCTGTGATGAGAATACAACTTTATAACAAATTAAAAAATAAAGAAATATGGGCCCTTTAAATACTACATAAATCTTATTCTTTCTTAATCAAAAGTCAAAGTTTCAACAAACTACAGACTTCATGACATCACAAAAGCATTTTGAACTTTGGAGAGGTAAACAGATTAATAATTAAGTGTTACTCAAACATGTGTGAACAAAACACAATTCCAGGTATGTTTTTCTGGAAGTAACAACATTTCAACATGGCTTAAAACTGATCGGACAGTTTTGCATAAGATAATAATCGTAACTGTGCAAATGAGTAGTTCAAACTGTCATAAGTACTTTCACATAAGTCCTTGAAAATGAGATAAAGTAAGTGTACCTGAAAGGAATCCAGGGTAGTACTTGGACTACATCACAAAGTCCTGTCGACGCAAGGAAACAACGCCAAATCCTCTGGTATAGGTCATTTTCCTCCATGTTGGAATAAAAATTGCACAATAGATTAATAAATAATATTGTAAATATAGGGGAATGTGTGTCCAATAGAAAAAAAATGTAAGTATTAATTAAAAGTAATTGTAGTTTTTGTTTGAGGTTGCAAAAAGTTGGATTTACAATGGAAAAGTTAAGGGACAGAAGCGCC